GTACCATCCTCCGTATAACACGGTATTTTTATAGCACGGATTCACTCTGACACAGTTTGAGAAATGGGTAAAATCCTCATACAACATGAAATGTAATAAATTTTTACATACTTAAGTACTAATAGTTCACGAAAATAATAATTTTCGTGAACTATTAGTACTTCAGTGTGTAAATTTTCTTTTCTCGTCTCCATACACATGGTCCTTCGCGAAAATTGTTTCAATTTTGCCAGATCTCGATGCTTCTGCTTCTGGTGTTGCCAGATGTTTTCCCCTTGTTCCATAAGTGCTTTGCACCATATAAGGAAATTTATAAAGATCTTTTAACTAGAAGCAAGAAATCTAAAATTACATACTACACTTTTTGCAAAAGATAAAACATGAATCTGAAAATAATGCAGAAAATGCTCAGAGGATAACGATAACTTGCCAAAAATAAAACGCTCTCGGTTAATAGTGCTTTTAGTGATGACAAAGAAATCATTGTTTAATTTAACATATTAATTAATATGTATCACTTAAGAAAATTTTAATAAAGATATTTACCTTAATTATGAAAATATAGTAGCATGTTTTTTAATTTTTGGAACCTAACCCTCCTTTTCGTACTAGTTTTTTGTTTTGCATAACACGGATTCGCATAACATGGCAATTTTTTGGAACGTAACTACCGTGTTATATGGGGGTTACCTGTATAATTAAAATACAGGTATACGTCTGCTTTAGAATATGTCCAATTCAGAATACGTCCTGTTTGGACGAAACAAATTTTGCTCAGTATACGACTTTTGTTCGGTATACAACTTAATTCAATTATACGCGCCATTTATGAACAAGTAGCACTATCGGTGTACTAGACCAGACTAGACGTTTGCGGTGCAACGGTTTATAACTTTGTTAAATTTCTTCTGATTTTAATTTGTAAGTAAAATTTTATTATTTTAATTAATCATGAAATGCAAGAAGGCAAATGAAAAGCAACAGATAACTAAAAAAAATGACTAGAATCACAATGAAACTGATAAAAGAGATTGTTGAGAAATATGAAGGTAGCACGCGTGTTCGAGATTTTAACTGTTGCATACCATATTCCGAGAACGACGATATCGACAATCGTGAAAAATAAAGACATTATTAAATTTGCTAACGTTGCGAAAAGAGTTAAATCAATTTTTAAACAGAGATCGAAGACATTAGATCATGTTGAGAAATTGCTTTTGCTTTGGATAACTGAAAAACAATGTGCTGGAGACAGCCTATCGGAAGCAATTATTTGTGAGAAAGCTAAAAAGATACACGCTGATCTCACAAACAATCAAGCAGGAACTAGCCAGAAAAGCGAAGTGTTTAAAGTTGGCCATTTTTTTTACATGAGAACGAATTAATCATTTTTACATTACAGTGGAAACTCGGTATACGACCTTAATCCGTTTCCGATGTTTGGACTTATACCGAATTGGACGTATACCAAACCAACCTTTCTCATAAGAAGTAATGTAAAAATGATTAATCCGTTCTCATGTAAAAAAAATGGCTGGCTTTAAACACCTCGCTTTCCTGGCTAGTTCCTGCTTGATTTTTCGTGAGATCAGCGTGTATCTTTTTAGCTTTCTCGCAAATAATTGCTTCCGATACGCTGTCTCCAGCACTGTTTTTCAGTTATCCAAAGCAAAAGCAATTTCTCGACATGATCTAATGTCTTCGATCTCTGTTTAGAAATTGATTTAACCCCTTTCGCAACGTTAGCAGATTTAATAATGTCTTTATTTTTCGCGATTGTCCATATCGTCGTTCTCGGAATACGGTAAACAACAGTTAAAATCTCGAACACGCATGCCACCTTCATATTTCTCAACAATCTCTCATCAGTTCCATTGTAATTGTAGTCATTTTTTTAGTTTTCTGTCGCTTTTCATTTGCCTTTTTGCGATTCATGATTAATAAAAATAATAAAATTTTACTTATGAATTAAAATCAGAAGAAATTAAACAAAGTTATAAACCGTTGCACCACGAACGTCTAGTCTGGTCTAGTACACCGATAGTGCTACTTGTTCGTTGATGGCGCGTATAATTGAATTATGTCATATACCGAACAAAAGTTGTATACCGAGCAAAATTTGTTTCGTCCAAACAGGACGTATTCTAAAGCAGACGTATACCGAGGTACCACTGTACTTATTATGGGAAAGGTTGGTTTGGTATACGTCCAATTCGGTATAAGTCCAAACATCAGGAACAGATTGAGGTCGTATTCCGAGGTTCCACTGTATATATATGTATGTATGGAAAATTATTTATTTTTTCAGGTGTAAAAATCACATTTTGATTGAAATGTAATGAATTTTAAATAGCAAATTGTATAGGATACTTTAATTAAATGGAACATAAAAATTATGACAAAACGTAAACATTGATTAATTATTCATTCATTAAAAATGACCTGAGTGCAAGTAACAAAAAGAAAAATGAAACTGTTATTATGAACAGAAGCATTTAGGTGATTAGAGTTTGAATGTCAAGTTATGAAAGCAATTTGCTAGCCACTTCAGGAGGTAAGAAATGTATTCAATATTCTTGCATTTATAACATCATTTATGATCTAAGTGACTAATAAAAATTGATATAGTGATTTGTCTATTTAGTAGTTATTGAGTAGGTGTAATTTTTCAAACATTTTTGCTTTTTTCAATAAATGATTTATTAATTAATTAAAAATTACTTTAGCCACCACAAAACTGTTGTGATTGTAAATTATATCATAAATGCAAGAATACCAAATATTTTCCTACACTTTAAAATGGTAGGCAAATCGCCATCGTAACACATTCTTTGAACTTTCACTAAATAAGCACTTTTGTCTTAACCCTAAAACTGTGCTTTTTTTGTTACTACTATACTACAGTTCTTGTCGAATGAATGAATAATTTCAGAAAAGTTTATGGTTTCTTGATACCATAAGCTTAATTCTAACAATAAGTCAGAAGTTTAATAACATTACTGTGTATGATAATAAATGGTGATTGACAACTTAACTGGATTAGTCTTCTTTAACAGATAAAGAATGTTGTTCAGCTTTTTACAATCTGCCTTTCTCCCCTATTCTTATTTTTAAGCCAGTCTTCATTCAATGCCTACGGTCAAAAATTGTCCTCTGAAAAGTATTTGAACTGATTCTTTGTTTTCATTTAAAAATATTTCGTACATAATTAATTCTTTCAGAATATTGAAGGCAGGACTTTGTGTTTTTGTAAGGTAGGTTATGGATGATGGCATCTGTTATTTAGTGTGTTTGCTATTTAGAGGTAAATATTATAGATTTTTTATTTGAAGGGTCTGAGAATTGTAAAAACATCCATTAAGTAGAGGTGTCTGCTATTCAAGAGTGTTCATTAAAGGAGGCATTTCACTGTATATATTTTGAATATATCATTCCTTTCTAGCCAATCTCTTGCTTCTTTTATGCTTTTGTTGAATCCATTAATGGCGTTGCCATTAGTAAATAAATGCTTACTGGAATTAATTAAATAAAATAAACAAACACCTTTCTCTATTCCAGCACAACGTTTAATGCATTAAAAAATTAATTGATTCTTTGAAATACAGCCCATTTTTCGCTCCTACTCCAGCATTACTTCCTGAGAACATTATTCCTAATATCGAATTGCTCATAAAGGGTATGAATACCACTAAGCAGGATTACATCAGATGGAAGACAAGGTTCTGTGCAGAAAATGAGAAACAAGGTAACAAAGAAGAAAGGCGATTCAACAAAAGCATAAAAGAAGCAAGAGATTGGCTACAAAGGAATGATATAGTGCTCATAAGGGCAGATAAATTTTGAATATATTTATTACACAGTACAAAAATGGTACATAAATATCTTAGCTACTTTTTGACAAGTTCTGCCAGAATTCAGACATTTGTCAGAATGTAGCACCATTTGTTGTATCCCCTTATCAAAGAAGTTTTCTGCCAGGCAGTTCAGCCATCATGAATGCCATGCATCTGTTCCTCATTGGATTCAAATTGCTGCATTTCCAACCACACATTTATTTTTGAGAATAAATGAAAGTCACTCAGTACAAGGTTGAGGTTGTAGATGGGATTATCAACTCATATTGTAACAGTCAAAGCAATGCATATGGGTGTGCATTGTCATGGACAAGAACATTGCCTGAGGTCAACATGACTTGTCTCTTGTTCTGAATCATCATTTCAATAAATTTAAGCACTCATTCAGCAAAGAGATGATGGCTATAGTTTTTTAAGATTGTAAGGGAGTATTGCTGACAGATTTTATGGAGCCTGGGACTTCCATTACTTTATAGGTATAGGTGAATCACTCTTTGAGGTTTTTCAGAACAAAGGTGAGGCATATTGTCCTTAGGCATGATTCTTGTCCACAACAACACATTTCCATTGGCATTGCTTCAACAGTTTCAATATGAGTTATTTGATTACCCTGCCTTAAAGCCTGACCTCACACTGAGTGACTTTCATTTGTTCCCAAAAATGAAAATGTGATTGGGGATGTAGCAATTCAAATCCAGTGAGGAACTGATGCATGGCATTTGTGGATGTCTGAACTCCCAGGTGGAAAACTTCTTTGAGGGGATACAGAAAATAGTGTCATGTTCTGACAAATGCCTGAATGCTGGTGGAACTTATATTTAGATGTAGCCAAGATATATATATGTAACTTTTGTGTATAATAAATATAGTTTGTCTTTATTTTTGTTTTTTTCACAGCATACTGAAGGTTAATTTCCAAATAGTCCTCATATAAATAATATAATTTAGTGTTTAGTGTAAAGTCCTGTTGTGTTACTAGCTGTAAGCAGCTTTAAAGTTTTAAGGAAAACATTTGTTAAATGTTAAACATGAATAGGAATAAATTTGTTTGAGCAAATTATTTCTAGTACTGAAATTATCATAGAAAATTATTTACTAATGAATGTGAAAACCATTTGAATAAGATACTCATATTTCTGTATATAGGTATATGACAGAAAGGCCAAGGGTTATGTACTTTCTTTAATTGGAAATACTATCACCACATGGATGCAATTGCCATCAGATATGAAGGAAGGATGTAAGTGTTTCATCTAATTAAATAATAAATACTATACATATAAATATATAATCAATTTTAGATAAAATAATAATTAATTAGTGAAGTAAACATATTAATAAAATTAATTTTAATCATTTTGCAAGAATTTAGTAATATTTTAATTCATCAAAAATAAATTTTTATATCTCTTATTTTTAATATTAAAATATTGAATAAACTATAAAATTGATTATTTTACATTAAAAACAATTTTTACAGAAATATATTGCCTATTAACATTTATTAAAATATTCTATGATTTCTTTTTAATTTATTTTACTATATTATTCTATATTATGGCTAATAATAACATTAGATTCTCAATATACAAATTACATTGTAACTTTTAAAGAAAACATATTTAGTATCTGAAACAAACTCTTGAACATTAAATATAGAGTTGTGCCTCATACTTTAAATTTAATTCATTCCAGGAAACTTCAAACTCTGAACTGTTTGAAGTTCAAATCAATTTTCCTAATTAGAAATAGTTAAAAGTGAATTAATCTGTTCCCAGACAATAAATAATACCTGTTTTGATAAACATAAACGGAAAATACACATAATTTAAGGTAAAAACGACACAGTTAAATGTTCTATATAATAAATTAAACATGGAAACAATAAATAAAATATGTAAATATTGTATAATAAAATTAAAATTACATTTATTGGTCACACATCATCAATTCTGGCATCTTAAACATGGCTGTCAGATCCACCACATAAGTAATGGTTTTATGCTTTGAGATAAGTTCCTTTTTTACGTCAATCATCAATACTACAAGTTTTCTCTTAGGCTTTGTTGCTTCCATGCTCTTCTTGGATGCCTTGGTTAAGAGTAGGTAGGAGATTTATATTGATATATAAAACTAAACACACCAAAAATAAAGATGAATAAAGCACTGAAAAATGAGCATAATACAAGAGATGCTCAAAATTACAAATTGAATAACATTTTAAAAATACTTTTATTTAAATAATTTTAATGGAGTTTTTAACAAATGTGACTTAAATTAAATAGTTTTATCCAATTAAAACTATTGACTTATTCGTATCTCTTGAATTGACCTGATTATTTCAAATATTATTCTTCAAGAATTTGATTACTGTACTTTCAATTCAATTAAAAGTGTTTAAAGCAGATTTTATCTAGCAGCTATTTAAATAAAACTAATTGGAATGAACCAAGAGTCGAATGAAATGATTTCAATAATTCTATTTTTAATTGCTGGTTTCTGCAAAATACTTTTAATAGTAATTTAAAGAAAATGACTGCTAATTAAACAACACTGTGCAAGATTTTATGCATTGGGAGAAATGTCACAGATTTAACATGCAATTAAGACTTATTTTACATATTTTACTTTTTTTTTTTAAAGATTACCTATAGCCTAAACCTAAAAAATGCATGTGGCAAGTCTGCATATGGTGGGGTTCTACTATATCAAAAAAATGCTTTATTCAAAAATAATAAGTTATTGTTGAATTTATTCTTAAACAAATATTTTAAAAAACTGTTAAATTTATTTTATATATATATATTTAACCATTTCAATAAATTTTTGTTTCTTCAATTAGTGAACCTCCTTCAGTCTTTGTTGATATTCCAGCTTCTTGTTTCGAAGAATAAGAACTTTTCTATGGAAGTGATGTAAGTTCACATTATGAGAAATTATAATAATATATTTATATTATAATTTCAGTTAATTGTTTTGACAATATCAAATTAATTTTAAGCATAAAATGTTGATAACTGTAATTTAAATGTGTAATTATGTGTAAAACAATACTGTTTTACAAAATAATTTTTTTGCAGTAGAAACATTTAATTTTAAAAATTATTCATAGAATTGCTCTTGCATCTGGTGATAGAAAACACATTGTTGTTTCAACCTCTCAAAAGAATATGCAAGTTACACCAACATTTGCAAAAATACCACTTATGTGGGAACAAAAAGGCACAGTAAGTTTAAAAAATTTTCTGTTTTGAAATAGAAAAATGTTTGCAACATATTTAACTGTTTAAGAAATCCTACTTAAAATAGATGTTGCTTTATCATTAAATAGATATAATGCATGATGGTAATTTGTGATTTAAATTTATTTCATTTTTATAAAATTTGAACTAGAATTTTTATATTAAAGTAACTTAACACACACAAAATATTTTCAGAATAAACATTAATAGAATAATTCATGTTTTTCATAAAGAAAAGTATACTTGAAATTTTAAAGATACTAGGCTTTTTGATTACCATTATTTACTAAACATTGTTAAAATACATGTTGAATCAGATATTAGACATTTTCAAGTAAATATTTTTATGAGGTTTATAAAAATAAATAATTTATCCAAACATAAACATATTACTTGAAATTTAATTATTAATAGTAGTATTATTATAGCCCAATGTAACCAGCAATCATTTGGCAAAAATTATTTATCATTTTGAAGTTTATGCTATGAGGGTTAAAAATTATTTTAATAAAAAAACTAGAAAACATTGTAAAATAAAAAATTATTTTCTAAAATAAGCAATTTGGCATAGTAATCTGTTTGGATCTTTTAATTACTTAAAAATATATATATAAAACTATTTTTGTGCAAAAAATCCATAATTATGTAAGTTTAAAAAAATATTTTAAAAGGAGTGTAGATTATGCAATAAAGCATGTTATACTGATTTTAAATTGCAATCATGAACTTGCAGACTGCTTCCATAAACATAGGATATACTTGTATGGTGAGATGAGTTAGAAAAGGTTTTATTTTTACTAAAGCCAACAACTGCCATATGCTATCGGGCTATATAATGGCTATAATATTATAGCTTTAGTTATCAGGTTTTAGTAGAGTTGATTGGTTTTAATTTTGTTCTAACAATTTTCTATGGAGTATATGCTATTATAAATTATTTGTATAAAAATACAGTATATATATNATGGTTTTATGCTTTGAGATAAGTTCCTTTTTTACGTCAATCATCAATACTACAAGTTTTCTCTTAGGCTTTGTTGCTTCCATGCTCTTCTTGGATGCCTTGGTTAAGAGTAGGTAGGAGATTTATATTGATATATAAAACTAAACACACCAAAAATAAAGATGAATAAAGCACTGAAAAATGAGCATAATACAAGAGATGCTCAAAATTACAAATTGAATAACATTTTAAAAATACTTTTATTTAAATAATTTTAATGGAGTTTTTAACAAATGTGACTTAAATTAAATAGTTTTATCCAATTAAAACTATTGACTTATTCATATCTCTTGAATTGACCTGATTATTTCAAATATTATTCTTCAAGAATTTGATTACTGTACTTTCAATTCAATTAAAAGTGTTTAAAGCAGATTTTATCTAGCAGCTATTTAAATAAAACTAATTGGAATGAACCAAGAGTCGAATGAAATGATTTCAATAATTCTATTTTTAATTGCTGGTTTCTGCAAAATACTTTTAATAGTAATTTAAAGAAAATGACTGCTAATTAAACAACACTGTGCAAGATTTTATGCATTGGGAGAAATGTCACAGATTTAACATGCAATTAAGACTTATTTTACATATTTTACTTTTTTTTTTTAAAGATTACCTATAGCCTAAACCTAAAAAATGCATGTGGCAAGTCTGCATATGGTGGGGTTCTACTATATCAAAAAAATGCTTTATTCAAAAATAATAAGTTATTGTTGAATTTATTCTTAAACAAATATTTTAAAAAACTGTTAAATTTATTTTATATATATATATTTAACCATTTCAATAAATTTTTGTTTCTTCAATTAGTGAACCTCCTTCAGTCTTTGTTGATATTCCAGCTTCTTGTTTCGAAGAATAAGAACTTTTCTATGGAAGTGATGTAAGTTCACATTATGAGAAATTATAATAATATATTTATATTATAATTTCAGTTAATTGTTTTGACAATATCAAATTAATTTTAAGCATAAAATGTTGATAACTGTAATTTAAATGTGTAATTATGTGTAAAACAATACTGTTTTACAAAATAATTTTTTTGCAGTAGAAACATTTAATTTTAAAAATTATTCATAGAATTGCTCTTGCATCTGGTGATAGAAAACACATTGTTGTTTCAACCTCTCAAAAGAATATGCAAGTTACACCAACATTTGCAAAAATACCACTTATGTGGGAACAAAAAGGCACAGTAAGTTTAAAAAATTTTCTGTTTTGAAATAGAAAAATGTTTGCAACATATTTAACTGTTTAAGAAATCCTACTTAAAATAGATGTTGCTTTATCATTAAATAGATATAATGCATGATGGTAATTTGTGATTTAAATTTATTTCATTTTTATAAAATTTGAACTAGAATTTTTATATTAAAGTAACTTAACACACACAAAATATTTTCAGAATAAACATTAATAGAATAATTCATGTTTTTCATAAAGAAAAGTATACTTGAAATTTTAAAGATACTAGGCTTTTTGATTACCATTATTTACTAAACATTGTTAAAATACATGTTGAATCAGATATTAGACATTTTCAAGTAAATATTTTTATGAGGTTTATAAAAATAAATAATTTATCCAAACATAAACATATTACTTGAAATTTAATTATTAATAGTAGTATTATTATAGCCCAATGTAACCAGCAATCATTTGGCAAAAATTATTTATCATTTTGAAGTTTATGCTATGAGGGTTAAAAATTATTTTAATAAAAAAACTAGAAAACATTGTAAAATAAAAAATTATTTTCTAAAATAAGCAATTTGGCATAGTAATCTGTTTGGATCTTTTAATTACTTAAAAATATATATATAAAACTATTTTTGTGCAAAAAATCCATAATTATGTAAGTTTAAAAAAATATTTTAAAAGGAGTGTAGATTATGCAATAAAGCATGTTATACTGATTTTAAATTGCAATCATGAACTTGCAGACTGCTTCCATAAACATAGGATATACTTGTATGGTGAGATGAGTTAGAAAAGGTTTTATTTTTACTAAAGCCAACAACTGCCATATGCTATCGGGCTATATAATGGCTATAATATTATAGCTTTAGTTATCAGGTTTTAGTAGAGTTGATTGGTTTTAATTTTGTTCTAACAATTTTCTATGGAGTATATGCTATTATAAATTATTTGTATAAAAATACAGTATATATATTTATCTTAGATTAATCCTAATTATAAGTTCATTGAAAATACATCCAAGATTATTATTCTGTGATAATGTTTAATGTTATAAAGAAACATTATTACCTTTTCTTGTATAATATTTTTTCTTACTTAAAATTCTTTTTTTACAGTGGTTAAATTTATGTTTTGATTTGGATGTCTTGACTTCAGATTTTTGGAAAGGACAAACTTTTAGTTTCATTGAATGTATAATTGTAAGAGCCTCCTGTCAGTTAAAGAGAATCTTCACTTTGAATAAATCTTGCATATGTTTGCCATCATATAAATGTAAGTATATTTAATTATGTAATGAATATTCAAATGGGAATAAATCAAAATAATGATTAGAAAATGAAAAAATATTATTTAAGAAGACATTTATCCATTCGTCAGAATACAGACATTCCATGTCATATAAACCTAGTTATTGCTAACTTTTAAAGTATTGCAGAATGTTTATTATTTTCTTCAATAGATTTTTTTAATCTTTAGGAAAATTTAATCTTTTAGCTAGTTTTTTTTATAAGTATCAAACTGAAGATGATAGATTTAGTCTAATGTAATGTTTCTAGATTCATATTCTAATTCCATGTTACACTTAAACAATCTTAAATAGTAATAAAATGGTAAGACTCCATAAAAATTATTAGCATTTAAGATTGTTTAATCTAAATATTTTCTGTCTGAAGCTAGCTGAATGAGAATATAAAACATTATATAGAACAAAAACAATTCTTACACAAGATACCTTTTTATTTTTAATGCTTTTTAAATATGCTTTGCTTTCTCACAGTAATCCTATGTACCGATAATCTGTTTATATGCAACAAATTTAATGAACATTTGTCATTCATGATAAAAAAAAAAAAAACAAAAAAGACATACTCAGCATTGCTGAGAGGGATGACAAAGGGGACACCTTTTTTATGCTGCCATACATTACAAAGACCCATTAAGGTCTGGCCAATAAGACAAAAATAAATGGCTTTTTTTAATAACAAAACAAAAATAATAAAATCCAGCAATGAGTTGTATAACTTTTCCAGCAAAAACACTTAAAATTGTGTGGGGCACCATCTGTTTATGATATTTATTCTAAAAACTTTTTATCTTATTAATTATTATAAAATATTTAATATAATTAAAAAATATTAATTATATGTAATAAATACATTATTAAATAATAATTTAATTCTGAAATCTTTTAGTACATTGTTTTACCTGTTAAAAACTTTTTAATGATAATCTTATTAACAGCATAGATAACATTTTTTACATATGCAGTAGTCTCTCGAAAACTCTGCCTAATGTGGACCGAAGGGTGGCCGAGTTTGTGAAAATACCGGGTTATCGGGAATGGGGTTAAAAAAAATAAGTATGAGTGTTTCCTCAGAAAATACTGTACTGTACTTGTATGTATTGTTTACTTGAGAATACAACAGAGAATAAACTGCCCAAATACCCTTAAACAAAGGAAAAGTACGTCCTTTATGAAGGCATAGAGCCTTTACTACATGAAAATGAAAATTAATGAATACACTGTGTACAGTAATTTACCTGATAAGACAGACCTCAGAAAAATACTTTGAGGCATAAAGCTGTCTACAATGAAAATTAATTAACTAAGGATTTTTTTGCCCTGCCAGGGTGTGGCTGAGTTATCCGGACTGCCGGGTTATCGAGTGCCGAGTTTTCAAGACTCTACTGTATTATATATTTTCTTTTTTCAGGTTAATTTTATTATTTTTTGTTATCATTTATTAACTAATAACATAATGTGTATTAAAAAAATAAAATATAGCATACTATTTTACCATCATTCTACTCTTCAAATGACGAGATTAAAGTTTAGTTAGCTTTAATTGCATATTTACATATCTGACATGACATGAGTGAAAAAAGAATTATTGTCAGTACACATTGAAAACTGTGTTTTTATAAATGAAAAAATCATTTTTATTTGATACTTTATTAACATTTATTTAAGTTACTCCAAACTACCAGAGAATTTTGAGTAAAATTTTTTTTTTGAATCAGAATAAGAGAGGAAGAAACTTTTTGACTAGACTATTTTAGAAATTAAATCTGACTTTATAATCTGGGATTCCTTGATTCTGCTGATAATTTAATTAAAAGTGAAGAAAAAAATAATAAATTGTCTTTGTATTATTATTTATAATTTTATTTAGATATTAGGAAATATTGCAATACAGTAGAGTGTCGTTTATTCGAATCAATTGGGAACTGGGGTTGTTTGGATAACCGATTATGTACGAAAAAATATAATAACCTAGCTCATGTTGAAATTTTTCTCCGTTGCATGTCACTTTGCGTTGAATTTTCATCAAAGTTAAGCCTAACGTAAATTTTTAAAAATAATAATCGTGGCTATTGTATCATTAAAAATTATTTCTTTATTTTGTACAAACACAATAAATATATTGAAAAATATAAAAACAAAAAAATTATATTTTGGAGGTTAATCTAGTATCAAAAACGTTCAATTTGGCACGACACAGTCTGACTGGAACACTTCTGGTTAACTGATGTTTCAGTTGATCAGTTTTTGGATAATCAACGCTCTACTGTATTTTAATTGTTTTGAATAATATAGCTTTAAACAATATGAACTTATTGAAATAAACATTTTGTTTTTACTGATAATTACTTTTATTGAAATCAACTTCACATCTTAATAAAGCAAATAAAAAGAATCACAAAATGTTCACAATTCTTCAACAGGTAAACAATCATGCTGCTCATTTTACATGTGCTCACCTTAATCATCAATTCCACATTCCACATCTATAATTAAAATATAATTATTTCACTTTTACTTAACTTCCAAAATTTGTTAGAAAACATACAAAATATGCACATTAAAGGGACAGCAGCACCAAATTTTGCTCTAGCAGCTGAATTTTGGAGTAAAATTTTTCAAAAATTGAAACNTCCACATTCCACATCTATAATTAAAATATAATTATTTCACTTTTACTTAACTTCCAAAATTTGTTAGAAAACATACAAAATATGCACATTAAAGGGACAGCAGCACCAAATTTTGCTCTAGCAGCTGAATTTTGGAGTAAAATTTTTCAAAAATTGAAACTGCATACTTGGGACAATGTACAGTACATATATATTTATACCTACTGTACCACATTCACTTGAGATTTGCCCAATAGTTCTTTCTGTAGAAAGCCCTGAACAGCTACTCTTTAATTATGATCACTGTATACTGTGGTTTATTAATATTAAATGAGGTAAACTGTTAATACACAAATATTATCTTATTAATAAATATTTATAACAACTGTTGTAATTTTTTTTAGCTTTATGAAAATTATATCTCTTATTCTGGATTATAGGATATAAATTTTTAAAATTTTGCTTTATTTTCATCTTATAAATGAAACACAGTTAAACCTGTCAACCTCAAATCTTGGGAACAAAAAAAAATTTGAGATAGATAGTTTTAAGATATAGAGGTTCCTATACAGTAAACAGTAATAGTTTTGTCTAGAGGTATGGTATTTTATTAATACAATAGCAAGTACAACACGTACCTATGTTAGGTATAAATAAAACATATTTGACATACCAGAACAGAAATAGTTTGTCAATAGCTTCTGATTTCTGACTTTCTTCAACCAATAAGACACAAGCCAAACTTGTAGCCAATCAGAGAAAAGCAACATTAATTGCAACTGTGTACAGTACTGTATTCCAAGAGATGTCTCTCAACTGCAATTTATGCTATCAAAATATAGTCTCTGAGCTTTGAATTTGTAACTGAAACTTCAGTCTATAATTTGAGAGATAGAGATTTTGGGAGAAAATTATTTGAGATAAACATGGAAAATATTGAATTTAGGAAGAAAATGCAGGGGGGAAAATAAATTTTTGAGATAAAGAGGTTTTTGAGATAGACAGGTTAAATTGTATATTGTAAGAATGGTATTATTGCAACTATGATTCAGATTAATTAATTCAATAATGTAAAATTTAAAAAATTGATTTAAATTGATATTTTTACTTTAAATAAACTATTTATCTTTTT